CTTGAGTTGTACACGCGCACTGCCATTTTACCGTATACAAAAATTTATATATTTTTTTTTTTTGATTTCATATTATTCTCTTTAATTTAGGCCCTCATGGCATTTGGGTTTCGTTGCAAGCGAAGACGCGCAACGTAAAGCTTACGAGACAGCAGAATGGAGTGGTACACGTGGTTTAAATTGTAGGAGACTCTATCCAGCTTGTAGAAGAAATTTCCTGCACACTATCACAAAAGTGATTCCCGATAATAGTTGATTAAGTTAATGTCTACCTAAAACTTGATATTTTATACGTTTTGATCTTCATAACAAAACAATTACATTTTAAGAATTCTTAATGATCTAAATACAATAAATTACATGTTTGGTTGAAACTCGCAGCATGTCTCACAAGACTCACTCAAGCACTTGACTCAGAAAGTGGATATTGCCTACTCCACTGAGCTATGGTAAACCGTTCACCACCATTTTARGTATCATAATATGAAAGCGTCGTAATTTCTAACCTCACTCATCTGATTATTGTTTTTGAACTATTAATAGTCTCGATGGCGATCAGTTTCGGCGATAAATTCTTCAATCGACGATACTATCTTCCGAGTGAACATTCTTTTGAAAACTGGAGACAGGTAATGTTCGCTAGGGACCAGATCTGCAGATATTATTCTCCAATGCGGAGGCAATTCGGAGCCCAAATAATTGAATTTTTACCATAGCTTTCACTGGCTTGTGTTACGGTGCATTATCTTGTTGGAACATCATTTTGTTCTTCTTCAAATGCACCTGCTTTCGGCGATTTCGCTCTTCAAACGGTCAAATAACGTTGTGTTATAGTACTTATATTTTTAGGACAGCTAATAAAAATAATTTCATTCGTATCCCAATATACACACGCCCTAACCTTGTCAGCCTACTATTGACTTTTTTCGCGCTGGAGCGGGTTCACAGTGTGCAGTTCACTCGGATGACTGTCGATTGGACTTCGAAGTAAATTGATGAAGCCATGCTTCATCTATTATCACAAAACGGTGGGAAAAGTCGGGTTTATTAYGCTTGAACATCTCTAAATACTGCTTCGAAAAGTGAGYTCGCGGGGCATACATAGCTTTCTCATAACCAAATGTTCGTGACTGATATGATAARCACATTGAGTTGACATCTTTAGAGTATCTATTATCTCGAACAACTTTACTTTGCGATCATCCAAAACTATTTTGTGGACTTTTTTGATGTTTTCGTCTTTAGGGCGGTGCTCATTTTACCACGTCTAAATTTAGCACACCAATCCTTGATAGTTAATGGTTGGGACAACGACCGGAAATTCGTTGTTAAGTCAAGATGTTGCTCCAAATACACTGGTAAACAAAAATGCTTGTGTTTTTTGTGACAAGAACAGAACAAAGTGYTTATTATATAAAAATTTACACACACGCAGAATATATTTTTGTTATATTACCTTAAAATTTTACTGTCGATGTTTCTCGGTGATATTTTTTATTTTTTGGAGTATTCCTTTAGGATGTCCAGCAGTAATCGGCAAACAAACTGGCACTGCACTTACCTTGGTATCGTTTTTGCATAGCAAAAATGTTTTGGTGGAACCGTTCCAAATGATCGTTCCCCTAAACTTTCGGGAAAAAATTCAGATGGGAGTCCAGAAAGTGATTTTTAAGGGATATGTTGTAACCAATTTTTTTAAAGGTAGTAAGTATTTCATCATCAAGATCTTTGTTCACTTTTTCAGCTTTCACATTTCCAAGRAAATTTTTACCAACACTATTAAAGGCACTCCAGGTTCGTATTTCAGTTACATTGAGYATTTCCACAAATTTTTATCTTGCCTTAGTTGTCTTATTTGCGGAACCACAAATATGTCCACCTTAATTTTTTCTTCACAGACTTTTGGAATTTTTTTTTTTTTCAGATACAACAACCCTCTCCCATTTCTGTCCATTGCCTTAACAAAATTCTTCTTTAAAACCAATTTAATATGCAAAGGTGGTAGTAATACCTTTTGGGGATCAACTAGAGGTTCACTGGTAACATTTTTTTGTCCCGGAGTGAGTGCCTGACGTACTGGCCATTGCTTCTGTACATAATGACAGTCYCACGCACGGCTGTCCCATTCACAAAAGAAGCAACACTATTTCGTACATCCTAGTTGCATCCAAGAAGAAGGGCTATTACTTTTACGTCCCCACATATTGCCCGACCATACTCATGATAAAGGATGTGCTCTAAAAGAACTCTCATATTTTCATATGATTCCTTCATATGAACCGCRTGAGTTAGGTGCACAGATAGATATTTATTACAGTTATGAACCAATACCGACTTTAACCTAAGTTTAGAGGATCCAATGAATAGACGACAATCACGTGGATCATGTTTCTGTCCTAGATCCCCTTTTTTAAAAAAGCAATTTGTGAGGTCTTTCTGCCTTTTTCTTATTTACATCACTTTGGAGAARGTTCAACCTTTTAGACTGGATGCTAAAAGTTCGGACTACGATTTTGAAAGGYTTAGATCTCGAACTAAGTGTTTAAGTTCACCCTGTGGAATTAGATGCGACACTGTTAAACGTCATGGTAAATCAAATAAAGGATCGGTTGTCATTTCCTTTGCAGTTTATTTGGAATAAGAAGTTGTTTACTGCATTTGACAGGTCTTWAAGCTGATGGTAAATTACAGTACTAAATGTATGTTTAGACTTCAGTCCAATACTCTTAATATTCGTGAGGCCAAAATAGCAGTCTGCAACATGGTTTTTAGCATTTTACAATTTGAACCTTTTAACCAAGCTGTTAACAATGTTAGACAAGTTTTACAACAGATATGAGGGGCCTATACCTTGTATTGTCCTCAACACCAAAATATAGTTCGAAAGCTTTTAGTACAAGCGGAGTAAATCAAACACATAACAAAAACTGTTGGCACTATTTACGCACTGCCTAGGCATTGTACCTACTAAAATTTGTAAATACAGTAATTTCAAAAATGTAAAAGAATGTGAACTCAAAAACGTTCTGCTATCCAAACATAGAACACGAAACCGATTCAGACTCAGTTACTCATTACTGATTACTGACTCATCTACTGATTAATTTTGTAAAATAAAATTATGGTAAAATACGTTGTTTACTTCAAACAAGCAGGCAGAATCGGTCTAAACCCGATAAATCCCTGATCGTATGAAAATATTAGTTGATGCAATATATTGAAATTTTATGTACAGGGTGGCTGATGAAAGCCGCTACCAAAAAAACAAATAAATAACTTTTTTTCTATTCAATGAATCTGGTTAATTTTTTTTTTATTTTATTTTGCAGATTGACTTTTACATTTAACAAAAATGGATAACTGAGACACTGAAACGAGAATTTGGATTGTCCGCCGCTATCACGCACTGGAGTCCGTAGTTTCGGTTCAAAGAGAGTATRGGCGCACGTTTGGCGGCAATCCTCCGAGCAGATGGACCATAATGAAACTTGTAAACAATTTTGCCGGCATGAGACAGTCAACAGAAGACCTTACCATCGAAACCCTTCAGTTCGAACGGAGGAAACAATCGCTGCTGTAGCTGCTGTCTTACAAAACAATCCACGTGTTTCGACAAGAAGCTTATCTGCTCAAATGGGTGTAAGCAGACAGTCCTTACAGTCCATTATGCACAAAGATTTGGATTTCTTCCCATATAAAATTCAGATGGCCAACAAACTAAACGCTGCAGACTTGCCGATTCGCTTGGAATTTTGCCAGAAGATGCTTCAAATGGTGGAAGAGGATGGAAACATGTTGAACTGTCTTTTCATGTCTGACGAGGCCCATTTCGATTTAAACGGCAWCATAAACAAACAAAATTGTCGAATATGGAGTGCTTCCAACCTACAGATACTCCATGAGACAGAATTGCATCCACTTCGCCGTTATGGTTACTGGAGACCGTTACTTGAGCATGTTGAGAGAGTTTTTCTATCCAGAATTACGCCGAATGAGAATTTCTTTCAACTCTGTGTGGTTTCAGCAAGATGGTGCAGCTCCTCACATAGCCCAACCTGTTATGACAGAATTGCGACGAAAATTTCCCAATCAGCTGATATCCAGAAACTCCACATTCTGTAGGCCACCCAGGTCGCCGGAATTTACTGCACTTTACTTTTTCTTGTGGGGTTATTGCAATCAGGAAGTCTACAAAGCAAAACCAACAAATTTTAATGAACTAAGGCAATCCATTCAAGAAACAATGGCGGCTATTCCTGTCTCAACTCTCCAAGCAGTAATGAACAACTTTTTGGTAAGATGCCGCACATGCATCAACGAGCAGAGGGGCATTTAAATGCCATTATTTTTAAAACTAATTAAGCTATATTTAATATATTGAATGAGCTTTAACATGAATAAAAGAAAAATGAATTCCATACACTGAAAAAAGAATTATTTGAGTTTCTTAATGTAGCAAAATTCATCAGCCACCCTGTATTGTAAAATCTTAAGCCGAAGGTTACAGCATGCCTGTGGGTGGTAGAAAAATTCTGTTTTTAGATTTGACTTCAGGGAAACACCTACGAATTTTCATGTCACAAATTATGTGTCTACCAGTGTTATTTTTCCCCTCCAAAAAACAATATATAAACGAGGAATTTATTTTTATCAATTTTTTTTCACAATAACAAAGCCGCTTCACTTCTCGCCCTACTGAGCGTATTATTCGCAACATCATCACCAATATTGAGACCCAGAATTCAATATTGGATAATATTCGCCCGAATAGACCACGTCCAGCACGCAGTGAAGGAAATATAGC